TTCGATTGTCATCACCTGGTTCCTAACTCGCATCGAATAATGACGCGAAATATTAATCTTATTAACTCTGGTTATAAACAAAAGCTAAAATAGGTATAAATTTAAATAAGAAGGAATAGAGATAAAGGACTAGTTCGTAGTTAGATCGGCTTTAAAATTATGTTATCTCAAATATGACTATAATTGTATTTAATGAAGTGGACATATGTATATTCCACCTTTTGAAATGCAATGCTTTTGGAGTTGAAACATGAATCGATCAAGTGCAAAGTCTACATTCAGTCAGATCTTCATTTGCAAGTCGATATACAGTTTGTGTTATTTTCCTTACCCCTGCATGTGGTGTGTAGGCACTTCGATGTTGGCGGAGGCGCGGCGGCGGTCGCCGGCCATGTCGGCCAGCCGCGCGAAGTCCGTGTCGACATCCGCCAACCGCGCCGACTTGCGCGACTCCAGCAGTCTTATTTCCTCCAGTCTCTTCTTCAGTTCGATTGGAGTCTACAAATAAAATATATACATAAATATATGCATTATATACATTTCTCTCATCCTAAATAAGGAAGCCGCGACACATCCATTCATCTAATATCGTTGTTAAGTTTTACCTTTTACGGAGCTATTCTTAAGTACAAATGATAAAAGAGCATAGTAATAATATAGTGTATATACGTAAGCGAAAGATGAAATCTCAAATACAAGAAACGAGTTAAAGTGCGTATGTATTTAGTAGTTGCAACTATGATTATGCAATTAGTGTATTGTAAATGCGTCATGTGAGGTTATGCAAGCCGGCCGGCCGGCGCGCCACGAGCGGGTGTGTGAGATCGATATGGGCGACCTTCGCGCGGTCCGTGCATGTGACGTCATGACCTAGCGCTGCAACTGGGCCGAGATGCGTTCCGTGTCACAAACTTCGCTCAGTGCACTGCTGCCCTACTCACCCTATCTAGGCCTTCATCTATACGTAAACTCTTGAATTTTTTAAACTATTAAAATATACTTATATGCCTTTGAAATATGATAAGTATAAGATTTATATTTGTAAGCCAAGGGCCTTATAAATATATATTTTTTTAGCTATAAAGCATATCATTTAACGAGCGCATATAACTGTTCAACTAAGGAAACGACAGTTATTAACAATGACAATCGCCATTACGGTCGCGGTTGCCATGTGCAGCATGCAATAGGCCTCGCGTGGTTGACATTGGCTGCGTTTTCGTCTCGGGCTTCCTTCTACGCCAGTGATTGCGTGATTGACATAATATAGCCGAGCGCGCATACCATAAATGGCTTACGACGTTTCACTCATAATACGTCACCACAGGGCAACTACAACAGGCTACGGTCTTGATTCTAATTTATAGTTTCCCTTGACCCCAGTCGAGTGTGAAAAAAAATTAAGGTCGAGTTTAAACAACACACACTTAAAGATTAAGTAATTTACAGTCATAATTAATAATTATATCAATTAATTATTTAGTCTACATAGAATTACATTACTTTAATTGTTAAGAATTTGAAATTCCTTACATTTCCTATATTAAAATTGATTCAAATTACTGACACGAGTGTTAAGAAATTTTATTTGACTTTCGAGACACGGCATGAAGCTGGCAACACTGCAATATTCTGTCAAACATGGTCTCCGTGCAAACAGGCGACCTAGTTTCGAGCACAGCGGACCAGAGCTAAATGATAATTCGTACCGATTTGAGATCGTTTTGATTGTCGATATACCTCAATTACTTTTAACATAAAAGCAATCTGTGATCTATAAAAGTAGATCTAACTCGGTCACTAAAAAACTCAATTCAATTCGGATTAGGTAACGTAATTGGAAACTATTGAAAGAATGATATTAAGAGATCCAGAGCAAAAGCCGTTATAACTATATTATTTCGTTTCTTTTTCTGTGTGACTGTTGACTGTCACCAATGGTGTTATAAATTGTACGTATTTGATGTGCCGAAAAAAATTCTCAAACTAAATACGGAAAACCGTAGTTGCATTCTCGGTTCTAAGAGATTGTTCCGGAACTCTTTACGAGCTTTGATGTCAATGTAATATGTGTAATCACAAATCTCTGTATGGCCAGTAATGGAGGCTTTAGAAACGGCACCAATCGTCTCCGGGGCGCGCATGGGTTTCGCCGGCGAGTGAACGTGCGCGATCACATCATGGCTACTTTCACTTTTACGCGATTCGGTGCACGGAGCCGGTGGCGGTGCCTCGCTCGCCGCCGGAACAATGAAAGTGTTTCTAATGAGTAAACATTATGCATACCTATGTCTTTTAAAGGCCATTACGTGTTCTTGCAGATTGCTAATAAATATGCACGACCTTGTGCGCTGCGTAGTGCGGAAGATAATATTGACAACGATACAGGGTCGCGAGATAAAGGTGTTAATAAAGAAATCGCGTACGCCCCTATCAGTACTTTTATAACTTGTCAACAAATTGCGTATACGATCATAGATTTCCTCAATATGAAATTTTTAAAGATGATTACTCATGGAATTCACTAATGTAACGCTAGTTTTCATCAAATATTCAGAATTTTAATGAAAGAAATTGTGCTTTTAAAAAGAGAACCTACTGGGAGATAATTATCAACAAATCTTGTACGGTGTTTAGTTCCTTACGGATTCTACAACGTCCGTCGACAAGTTGTTATGTAAAAAGTGACAACTGTTGCACAACCGCACCAGTCGCTGGCGAAACTTGGCCGCCACACCAGTGAAAGTTGCCGAATGACTTTGACACGATAATCGACAAATACTACGCAGTTATACCATTAGATCGATATAAGTCAATTACTTGTAATTCAATGCATTACAACACTAACCTTAAGTTGCAACTAATTATATAACGACTAGTTTAATGTCGCATGAGTTGTTGTTGCATTATTGTGGGACAATGTCATTGCCATCATTTTTGATTTATGGAACAAGATCGTTTTGCAATACGGTTATTTCAAATCAAACTTAAACTTGAGAAGTACGTAAGTAAAGTACGTAAGTAAACTTTTTGAGAACTTGAATTTACGATAGCATACTAATCGCGAATGATTGTTTTAATATTCTGACCATCTTTTTATAAACTTTTCTAAAACATGTGAAATAATTTGTATTTCAAAGGTCGTAAGACTGACAATTACAAATTAAAGGAAGATTTCCTGTACGTAGTTTGTATTAACTTTTTTTACCCGGAAAATAAAATATGTAAACTAAAAGAAATATTCAAACGCAATACAAAGAGCGAAGTTTTTTTTTTTTGAACCTTGTTTCCATTTAAAAGTTACAAGCAAAAAGTTATAAATTAAATGCGTCTTCAAACATCAGTGATATCAAAACGTAAAATAATCTCTTTGTCCCGATATAATGAACAATGAGTGCACATTTTAATGACAATTTCCACGTATATTAAGATTTTGTTACAGCTTTATATCATTATGTTCTTTGTGATATAAAATTCTTAAATAACCACTGTTATATGAGGCAATCTTAGCATTCTAGTACGTTTGTAAGATCGTACATATTTGCGGACATCAGAGGTGTGAAACATCGATGCAAAAGCGTTTTCTAGATAGTGCGTCGCAGTATTTTAGAACCTACACAGAAGCTAACCAACAGCGAGATATCAATGACATTCAAAAGGATACGCCCAGGTAGTAAGTGTCGTTTTAAAATTAACAATTGCATGTAAACATAGCGTAGGTTGGCCTCCCACAAGAAGCAATAATCTGGTCAAGGTTGCGGGAATCCACTAAACGAAGACAAGGACAATCTTTGTAGCAATTGCAGAAGAGACCCAGGTACACAAGCAATAGATAATTGAAAAATCAATAAACTTGAATGCCTACTACACTACTGTTTAAAATCGATTATGCAAGTCATAATCGAACATACAGATAGATCCGCGAAAACATTACCCTCCTGTCAATCAGGTAAATATTTTAATACTATATAGTATTGAAGCATTTTTGATGCACGATCATAATCTCACTAAGTATTTATTTAACGCAAGGACGATGCACTTTCAATTCATTGCCTTTATATTGAAAACAATGTACTTGATATCAGAGCTCCACCGATAACATAACTTTGAGCAACTTTTGTCTGCAACATCTGACTTCCACGATAAAAATAAACTGCTTTGTAATGAAGTCACAAATGGAAAAAACCTAAGTGAGCCTGAGGTCTGATATCTAGTATTGGTAAACATTATAATAATCCAGGTTGATGCAGTCGACTCACTTATGATGCAGCAATGGAAGTTACAACGACACGCATGCATAAGCAATTCGGCTGGCAATGGGCGTTCGTGCATTGGTAACAGCAAATAGGTCAATAGCTGCGCACTAGGACCCCACCACGCAAACTATCGATATATTAACTATGCCTATTCTGTGAGCCGACCGCGCTTACGTACACGTACCTAAAACTTCTTATACGTGTTTCCTAATATTGAAAACATATTGCATATGATTTTACTAAGAACTTAACAGGATTATTTAAAAAAAAAATTTTTTTCATTATCAAGGTCAAGGTTTGTGATACGACATTCAATTCCATTTTAGGGTAGCTTAATTCGTTAAATTTATTTTCTACGTTTTACATGTATTTAGTAGTTTAAATTTAAAATTACAAATTATTGAGGTACATAAACACAATAGGAGATGAAGGAAATGAAAACAAATAATAATACGTAGGTGATAAAAAACCAGCAAACGGCTCTAACATTGAACAGCATCAAAATGGCAAGTGTGAATTATTTATAATGGTCAAGTCACGTTCAGGTTAGCAGAATCAGTTTGTTCTCAATCGGCGGATTTGCGATTCTAATCGGATGTGTACGGTTAGGCTGAGCCGTCGAACGGCACGGCCTTGCGAGATTTGTGAATACGAGCGCCGGTTGCAAAGCGGATGCAATGGCGGC